TCTCCACGACATGGCGGCGGCGGCAACAATACTACAGCGAGAATCAAAGTTACGTCTTCTTTCTTTGCGTGAACATTTGGGCGGTGTTATGAAAATCTTCCCACACAGTGAAGTAGACATGTGGGGGCGTGTTTACAAGTCTTAACTTTTATAAAGAATATCTCTTTGGGTTTGAGACTTTAGTCTTTGCAACTTTAGGGATCTTATCTATGCATGAACAGCTTGTAACACTCCAAAGAGAAAGGAAAACTTGAAATTGCATCATATGACCCCTTTAATGTACCTGTGTAAACAGAAATCTGCCTAAAATTAAACAGTCTAAAAAGCATTTCCCACCTCACAAGGATAATTTAGAAACTTTACAGCTCAAATAACACATATTACACTGAATAATTAATATTAATAATTAAGGCTCTAATTAGAGCTTTAATTAAAACTCTAATCTCTCTGTTATGATTGTCTCATAGATCTATAATTGTATTTAATTTAAAGCAGGGGTCTTCAAAGTTTTTCAGGGTAAGGACCCCTTAGGCGACAGAGACATGGAGCAGGGACCCCCTGATACAAAATGTGTCAAGCAGAGCTACATATTAAGCATATAGCCTTCAATGTTAATAGAAACTAACCATATTATGATTAAGAATAAATATAATTATGATACATGAATATTATGTTAAGACAGTAGATCAGAAGTTACATTACTTGTTAAAATGCATCATTAAAAAAAAACATGTTGAGATAAAAATCACAATTCATTAGTTGTTTGCAGTTGTTGTAAATAATTTTTATGGATTTGCAGTCATACATCTTCATTTTACTAGTCAGATAGACATTTACAGTTACCTGAACTTCAGCTACAAGTTTAAAAGGGTCATATGATGCTTTTTTAAACATCATTATTTTGTGTATTTGGTGTAACAGAATATGTTGACATGCTCTAATGTTCAAAAAACACATTATTTTTCAAATACTGTACATTATTGTAGGTCCTATATGCCCCGCCTCTCTCAAACGCTTCGTTTTCTACACTGTGATGTGACCCTGTCTCTCTCTCTCTCTCACACACACGCGCGTGCGCGCACACACACACACACACACAAAGAATATCTCTTTGGTTTTGAGACTTTAGTCTTTGCAACTTCAGGGATCTTATCTATGCACAATCAGCTTGTAACACTCCAAAGAGAAAGGAAAGCTTGAAATCGCATCATATGACCCCTTTAATAAAAAAATAAAAAAAATAAAAAAATTTTATATGCAGTAGGACAAATAAACATTTTGTTCAACTTTAGCTTCAATTTTACTAAAACTTAACATTTTAATTTTACTGTGAGATGGACAATTAAGAATCAAATCTCTGAGTGAGGATTTAAAGTGCAGATATAATGTGTAAACAAGGCCTCCACCATGACAAGAATAGCAATGTACAGTGGGACATTTACGATTATTTACAAGGCATTACTTTTACAAAACAAATTGGAATGGAATTTAAAAATATATTGATACGGATATTTTTCTAGTAATCTATTATTCTGCATTTACATTGCGCATATCTATTGTGACATGCCATATTTTTGTCCCGTGCTAGTATCACAATGTCAACTGCAAATTCAGAGTGAATCACGCATTTATATATAGATGTCACTTCCAAAACATTGCAGCATGTAATCAGCAACACAATAGAAAAACAATACTTTTATTCAACCAGGGCCAGCCCTGACCAATTTGGTGCCCTAGGCAAGATTTTAGCGAGTGCCCCTTGCATCACAGCCAATTCCACCACCGATCATTCCCACAGAAATATAAATAATAACAGACATAAAACAAATTGCATATGAAATAAATACAGTTGCACAAAAAATAAATAAGTAAATAAACAAACAATAAATAAATAAATAAACTGACATTAACTCAGCTAGCTATTTAAATTAGAGAACTTTATCATCCAAAGGCAGCTACAATACTAACATTTAAATCTTAACTTGTTCATTTCAGACATTCTTAAATTTAGGGATGTACTTATCTTAACTTTTCATATCAGAATCCAATGCTGATTTTTAATGTATTTTATTTAAGCAAAAGACAAGAAAGAATGAAAATATGAGTGCATGAAGAATATGGTTAGTTGCTTTATTACCCTATATTTTGATCTAAATTACACTGTATAATTTCAAAACCTGAAGCAAAAACAGAATGGTCTGATTTTAGCTTTGTGAAATTAGGCAACACAAAACATAGCAAACAGCAGATGGGATTAATGAAAATGCAAATTCACTCTCTGCCAACAGGTGGCACTTAAGGAACAGCAGTGATGCATTGTTTCCTTGATTATCGCTGTAAACACATGCATTATACAGAGGCAAGATGAAAGAAAAATGCCATCTGAACTGTTTCTTAAGACAGTCAGTTCCCCTCAGAGATACATTCATACTTCGCGCATTGTGAACAGTGAGCTTGCTCTGTCACAGATCGGCCAGGCTCAATCACCTCCCAGTCACAGTGAACACCATCACCTGAGTTCTAATCACACGCACCTGTCACGGATAAACAACCACCCTCAGCTCCCATACAAAAGCACACACCTCACTTCACTCCAGTGTCCGATCTCGTTTCATCGAAGTAGATGTACTGAATCATAAAACACGGAATCCATAAGAAATCAAATGGAAAACATAGAATTTAGGGAAAAATAAAATGCAATTTTGCATAAAATGCTAGATATTGTCACAGATCGGCCAGGCTCAATCACCTCCCAGTCACAGTGAACACCATCACCTGAGTTCTAATCACACGCACCTGTCACGGATAAACAACCACCCTCAGCTCCCATACAAAAGCACACACCTCACTTCACTCCAGTGTCCGATCTCGTTTCATCGAAGTAGACTCTCTCTCTCTGATATCCTTACTAGATACTTAGAAAAACTTTACCTGCCTGTGATACTTACCTCCTGTGTTTCCTCCAGTGTGCTCTCCTGTGTTCCGTTCCCTAGTCCGTTCCCGTCATCTGCTCCGTGGATTCCCCATGTACCCATCAACGGAGGTGTGTGCAGTCCTCTGTCTCCCTTCCACGATCTCCTGGAGGACCATATACGGAATTACTCTGCTCATCTACCTTAAGGACCATTACCCTAAGTGCATCTACTCACCTGCCCTATCCATTCGCACCCCTTGCTGAAAATAAACTTTATTGTATTTTTCTAATCCTCTGTGTGAGTCTCCTTCCGTAACAGAAGACCGGACCACAAAGGGATTCAGCAAGATGAGTGCACCCGACCCGTTCCAGGAGATCGTGGATGCCCTCAAACGGATACTCACTCCTGCCATTGTCACACCACCAGTCACGCCCGTCACCAACGCCTCTTCCTCTTCCACGACAGTACTTACCGGTCCCATGGCCAGACCAGCGCCCTTCTCTGGCTCGGCGGAGGAGTGCAACGGATTTCTGCTGCAGTGTTCGCACGCACTGGAGATGCAGCCGCATCTTTACGGTACGGAAAGTGCCAAGATAGCGTTCATCTTCTCGCTGCTGACAGGGCAAGCGCTGCAATGGGCAGAGACCATCTGGTCCCAAGCTGGTAAAGTAACTAAATCCCTTGATACTTTTATGACACATTTCTGTGAAGTGTTTGGTAAACCCGTAGGCAATACCTCGAATTTATCCCTTGTCACTCCCTGAACAGAAGGCCATGGAGGATTAATATCGAAGAGGCTTTACAGCAAGGTTACATCCGCCCTTCTACGTCCCCTGCTGCTTCCAGCTTCTTCTTCGTGGCCAAGAAGGACGGGGGTTTGAGGCCCTGCATCGACTACCGGGCACTCAATAAGAGCACCGTGAAGTTTCGCTACCCACTTCCCCTCGTTCCAGCGGCTTTGGAACACCTCCGCGGAGCCACCGTCTTCACCAAGTTGGACCTCCGCAGCGCGTATAACCTCATCCGTATACGTGAGGGGGACGAGTGGAAGACCGCCTTTGTGACCCCTACTGGGCACTATGAATATATTGTCATGCCGTATGGACTGGTAAACGCCCCCTCCGTATTCCAGGATTTTATGCACGAGGTACTCCGGGAGTATCTGCACAGGTCCGTCCTCATCTACATAGATGACATTGTAATCTACTCCCGGAGCATGGCCGAACATCGCCACCACGTTGCGGAGGTCCTAGAGCGCTTGAGAGAGTTCCATCTGTTCCTCAAAGCCGAGAAGTGTTCCTTCCATCAGTCCTCGGTTCAGTTCCTTGGCTATGTCATCGATGACGGTGGTATCCAGATGGACGAGGGGAAGGTTGAGGCCATCCGAAACTGGCCAGTTCCAACCACCGTCAAGGAACTTCAACGTTTCCTGGGATTCGCAAACTTCTACAGAAGATTCATCTACCATTACAGCTCCATAACCAGTCCACTCACTAACATGCTCCAAAATAAGCCCAAATCTCTGTCCTGGACACCAGCTGCCACGGAGGCCTTTGAAGCACTTAGGAAAGCCTTCACTTCTGCCCCGCTCCTCATCCATCCAGACCCCAATAAACCGTTTGTGGTTGAGGTGGACGCTTCCACTAAAGGAGTCGGAGGCGTACTTTCTCAGCAGCCCAGATATGTTGGCCCCTTCACCATCCTCAGACAGATAAACCCGGTTACATATCAACTCCACCTCCCTCCACAGTACAAGATTCACCCCTCCTTCCATGTGTCATTGCTCAAGCCTCACCATCCACCTGTTTCTCTTTCCACAGAGCCTGGCCCGACGGAAGAACCCCCTCTACCGTTAATCCAGGAGGAAGGCACCATCTACAAGGTCGACGAGATCTTGGACTCCCGGCGCCGTGGTGGTCTCTTAGAATATCTTGTGGACTGGGAAGGTTATGGGCCAGAGGAGCGTTCATGGGTTCCCAGAGCTGACATCCTCGACCCCATGCTGCTGGAAGCCTTTCACTCCACTCATCCAGATCGCCCTTGGTCCCGAGGAAGAGGTAGACCACCACGACATCAGGGTTTTCGGCCCTCAGGAGCGGGCCATGGAGGGGGGGGGTACTGTCACAGATCGGCCAGGCTCAACCACCTCCCAATCACAGCGAACACCATCACCTGAGTACTAATCACACGCACCTGTCAC